CGAGTTCAAGACGCAACGGTACGACGACATCGACGCACCATTGCTATATGTACGCATTCAGATCGGAGAGGCGACCTGCAATGCCTTGATCGATTGCGGAGCATCTCGCAACTACATCAGCCAGGACTTCATGGTGCGCGCCGGCCTTGGCCCACGTGTCCGGAGGAAGTCCCAGCCTACGCAAGTCACTTTGGCAGACGGTCATACGCACAAGTCCATCGACCGGTGCATTGACGTCGTCCCCGTGTACTTTGCCCCTCACGCAAGTGAGGCGGTGTCCTTTGATATTCTGGACACCAAATTTGACATGATCTTGGCCATGTCATGGCTGCGAAGCGAGGATCACCCGGTGAACTTCTTCCACCGCACCGTTCACATTTGTGATCGGAACGGAGTATTAGTTTCATGCACGGTACCTCTTCCTCATCCTTCGATCAGCTGCCACGTGGTATCCGCCGCAAGCATGCGAGCATCCATCATCAGAGACGACATCGAGGAGATGGGGGYRTGTTTTCTCCACGCCCTCCCGCCCCGAGACSCTTCATCGACGGACTCATCTTCAGATCCACGCATCATCGAACTTCTCGACGCCTACAGCGACGTGTTCGAAGGCCCGCACGGAGTAGTATCGGATCGGCCCATCCGCCACGAGATCATCCTCGAGGACGGGGTCGTACCTCCGCGCGGCTGCATCTACCGAATGAGCGAGGARGAGTTAAGTGTGCTCCGTGCACAACTCTACGATCTTCTAGAGAAAGGCTGGATTCGGCCTAGCTCATCGCCACGGTGCTCCTGTCCTCTTCGTCCGGAAGAAGAACAAGGACCTGCGGTTGTGCATCGATTATCGCAAGCTCAACGCGCAGGCAATTAGGAACGCCGGCCCTCTCCCACGCATCGATGACCTTCTCGAGCGATTGGGCAGGGCCCAGTTCTTCTCTAAGTTGGATCTCAAGTCAGGGTACCACCAACTCGAGATTCGCAAGGAGGATCGCTACAAGACCGCGTTTAAGACACGGTATGGGTATTTCGAATGGCTGGTCATGCCGTTTGGCCTTACGAATGCCCCAACCACTTTCCAAGCGGCTATGACAACGGAGTTCCAACACATGCTGGATCGGTTTGTACTCATCTACCTCAACGACATCTTGGTGTATGGTCGGAGTTTGGCCGAGCATGTGGAACACCTGTGCACCGGTTTGGAGCGGCTACGACAAGCCAAGTACAGAGCAAACTGCGACAAGTGCGAGTTCGCACAGCAGGAGCTAGAATACTTGGGACACTATGTGACGCCGCAAGGCATCCGTCCGCTTGCGGACAAGATCGAGGCCCTACGAGTATGGCCCGAGCCCACCAACACCACAGACGTTCGTTCATTCATGGGATTGGCGGGCTACTATTAGCGATTCATCACCCGATTCTCCAGGATTGCTGCACCTATGACGAGGTTACAGTCGCCAAAGGTGCCATTCGTATTCGATGACGCCGCACGCCGGTCATTCCAAGCACTTAAGACGGCTATGCTCATGGCATCCGTCCTTAGCATCTATGACCCCACACGGCTATGCTCATGGCATCCGTCCTTAGCATCTATGACCCCACACGGCTATGCTCATGGCATCCGTCCTTAGCATCTATGACCCCAC